GAGGCCGACGTCCCATCTCGAAAGCCACACATGGGCCAAATTCGGGTCTTGCTGGGACAAATCAGGCTCTTTCGGGGACAAATAGGGATCAATCGAGGTCTTCCTGGGATAAACCGAGCTCTTCTGGGGCCAAATCAGAGTCTTTCCGGGGACAAAATGGGCAATTTCTGGGAATAACCTGGGATCTTCCGGGCCCGATTCCGCCTCCGTCCCCCCGTCGCTCGTCCCCGGGGCGGTTTTGGGGGGGATAAACCGAGCTCTTCTGGGGCCAAATCAGAGTCTTTCCGGGGACAAAATGGGCAATTTCTGGGAATAACCTGGGATCTTCCGGGCCCGATTCCGCCTCCGTCCCCCCGTCGCTCGTCCCCGGGGCGGTTTTGGGGGGAAACGGGGCTGTTTTGGGGCTCCGGTGGGGCTTTTCATGACGGGCAGCGGGGGCCGCTCCATCACCTCCTGCAGGGACCCCCTGGCCCGGCCCGGACAGGTGGTGTTTGCCCCGCCGGAGCCGCTGCAGGATCTTGTGGTCGTAGGAGCCGCTTCTCCTCCCCGGGCGCCGTCTCCGGGTGGATTTGGGAGCTTTCCCGGGTGTTTATTGTGAGCCTGTAGGGGCTCAGTGGAAGAAACTTAACTGTTTTCTTCCAAAGGGCTGGAGGAAACCGGAGTCACAAGAGAATTACTCAAAGGGTCTGTGTACATGTATTAACCAAGCATAGGCTAATAGCTGTACTTGATCTATCCTACCAAGAACTTGCAGACATACACGTTTTGTCTATAGAGGAATGATAAGGAAACATTTGGGCTGTATATGTTACCATCTTTAGCAACAGCATAGTTGAATTTCTTGCAGTGCTGGGCCACTTGTTAGCCACAGCATGAGGACCCAGAATCGGTCCCATCAGTCATCGATGCCATTAGCATCTCTTTTGGAGCAAACATATCCTGGCAAACTCCCATTTCTTGGAAGAATTGCTTGATGAAGCCTCCTCTTCCGGTGACATGCAGCAACCGTGCAGGAAGGCCCCATGTGGGAGGTGTCCTAGGATGAGCTGCTCCCTTATCTTGCCAAGACAGCTGCAAGGGGGCCAGGGGATCTGGGAGCTCCACTATGCAGCTGCAGACGCTCCTGCAGGCTGGGCTGCCTTAGCACCTTCCTCGTGTGAAGCCAGCAAGAAAACAAGGATTCAGAAGGGGTAAGTCAACAGAAATATTCTGTCGTCTTTTCCACATTGGGTTGATGGATTGCACAGAAAACCATTGTCTTGTACCAGGTCCACATAGGTGTATGCTCCTAAAGAAGGTATAGCAGCTCCTCTGTTCAGCGGTGGGATATGACTTTGCCATACAATGACAACCCACTGACACATGTCTCGCAGCGTGGTCACAGCTCCAGAAAGAAAATTCACCTGCTGGAGCAATGTCTTGAGTAGAAAACTCCACTGTCCACCTGCCTTCGCCTTCGGTGGTCTGTACTGTCTGTTGACCAAGGACTGTTTGTCGCTTCTATGCAGAACTGCAGAGTTCTGCAAGTTTTTACTTGTGATAACAGTAAATGAGTTTTTGAATCCCCTCTTGCAGTTTCTGTGAACAAAGCTTTGCTTCCAGAGGTAATGCGGTGCTATGATAAGGCAGAAACAGTTCTGCACACTAATTTTTGACTCCCTGACCTGAATTTTCTTAGCCCCGGCTCTTCTTGGGACCCTTGGGAGCCGCCATCGTAGCAGTTACTTCAACGCCCGAGTGACCATGGCGACGCTGCGCTTTATATAAGGGGGCGTATGCAAATGAAGGAGCGGCATGGCACCTGCGGCTTGGAAATTGGTCCCTGTCACAGCCAATGGGGCTTCAGGGCGGCCGCCGCGGCCAGGGTTTTATATAAGGGCTGTATTCAAATGAGGTATCGCTTTGGTGCCCGCTGATTGGTTCCTGCCACAGACGGAGGGGGGCGCTGCAGGTGCGTGCTGATTGGTTCCCGTTCAGCCAATGGGGCGGCACAGGGAGCGGCCGTTGCCAGGGTGGGCCCTGTGGTGAGGAGGAGAGCGGCCTTCGAAGCCGCCTTGGTGCCGTTTCGCCCCCTTCCCCTCCTTTGAGGCCCTGATGGGCTGAAATATTCCTTAAAAAAGAGGGGGGAAATAACGATTTGGGAACACAGCGGCGGTTTTGGGTTGATTTCCCCTCAAATCGGGCAAGAGGCGACGCCGCGTGGCTCCCGTCACCGCCTGTGCACAGGACTCAATTTCCCAGCCTGCCTTGCGGCGGAGGGGGCGTGCAAGAGGCGGGGCCCAGCTGCGCATGCGCGCGGGGTGGGGAGGAGGAGGGGCCTTCGCCATCTTGTGCCGATCTCCGAGCTGTGTGAGCCATGGCAGGGGG